CATTCTCAACAGGACTGTATCCAGAACAGCTAAAAGTATCAAGATCTATACCTATATGTAAAAATAAAGGACCAAAACAAAACGAATGCAATTACAGAAATGTGTGTCTTCAGTCACAAATTGCAAAAATAATTGATTACAGCTTCTATGTTAGACTCGAAGATTTCATTCAAAAGTATAATCTACTACCAAACTGCCAACATGGATTTAGGCCTAAGAAATCTACAAATACAGCAATAGAGAAACTTTGTAGTAAACTAATAGCAGAGCTGAATAACAAACAAGAAGCACACTATTGCCATCTTCTTCGACTTGACACGAGCATTCGAAACAGTGGACCATGGGCTGTTGGTGGAAAAATTGTACAGAAAAGGGGTTAGAGGATTATCAGGTAATTGGGTAGTCTTACGTACAAAACAGGTACCAAGTGGTTTGTATTGACTTACTAAGGTTTGAGCCTGTGAGGGTACCGATGGGGGTACCAAGGCTCGACATTGGCACCTCTGCTATTTATAATATTTATGAGTGATATAGTTCATACATGTAATACACCTGAAACAACAGAATTTTCTTTTGGTAGATTTTAGTAGATTTCTATAAATTAATAAAAAAAACCCAATTACTCAAATAAAAGTTCTTATTTAAATAATTTTGTTGCCAAAATGGATTGTTAAAAACTAAATAAACTAATTAAAAAATAAATAATTAGTTATTTTCGACTAGTAGATTACTTAAAAATAATCGATTCTTTATGTTTTATCGATTATTTTCGATTCTCCACGATTATTTTCGTTTCTTTTCGATTCTTTTCGATTCGATTCTTTTCGATTTTTTCGATTCTCTTAAATAGTTTGTGAGATTGCAGAACGTCTGCAACTTTGCAGATCTGCAAATATAGCGGCAACTTTGAAAATCTGCAAATATGACTGACTTACACATGCAAGTATCAAGTTTTCGTATTCCAAATTTGGGTTTAGTGTTGTTGGGGGTAATAAACCACAATAAATATTACGAATTTGCAGATATTTTTTGGAATACTTGCATTTGTAAGTCCGCCATATTTACAGATCTGCAAAGTTGCAGACGTTCTGTTATCTCACCCTTAGTTAATAGTTGTAGTGTTTGAAAATAGTATAATATTGTAATCGATTAATTAAAATCGAATATAATATCTCTAAAAAATCGAAAATATCCAATTAATCTAAAATAACCGATTTTGTATCAACTTTACCTGAATTTTGTTTCGTTTTAGAGATAAAATTTAAAACTGTAAGGGTTGCATCTTCATCCCTATCTCCAATTTCCACCCTCTAATTTAATAGAACTCAGCAGTTTTTTCATTTTTAATGATCATTTGAACGATTCATTGGATACAAACTCAAGATGGTGATCGTTCCTTTCTATATGACAATCAATAGCATATCCAGTGGCGGCTCGTGGGGTGGTTCACAGTGACAGAATATAGGTATCAGTACAGATGTATGAAAATCTTTCAGTGTTTTAGAAAGTTTATGATATACCTTTCTAAAATACTGACAGTTTTTTACCTATATCTGTACCGGGATCTATATTCTGCTACTGTGAACCCCCAAAATTTTGGTCACGAGCCGCCCCTGAGCATATCAGTATCTCGCACGAAGCAGAATTCATAGATTTCGTAAAACTTTTTCTAATGAAAATTATCAAATGCGGTAATGTTGTTTATTTCTCCTCATTCATTTGTCTTTTTTATTCCAAGAGGGGGTTAATATCGAGGTTCAGATCATACATATTTATACTGCGAAATTGAAAAGAAGGGTGAAAACGAGGGATGCGACGTATCTAGGACAGTTGAGTAAAGGATCGATATGTGGATTAAAAATCGACGACTTCTTTCATTTTTGAAACAACTATTTTCCTAGAAATTATTCAGTCCATTTCGTTTTCAATCATTGATTATATTTTATATTGTAATATATTAAAATTGTATGAAAATTCTTTCCAATTAGCGTGAGAGACGTTCAAATAGATAAAGATAATTTATGTAAAAATACCAACCCTGTTGCTATGCGACGCGGCTTATTTCCGGTTAATGTTCTAATAAATATTCAGTGTGCCAACGGACGACGTATTACTCGGAATTGGCGGATACGGCACTGGATAAACGCCTGCCTCTGGATGATTTATTTCTTGTGTTTCGTGTACACGGATTTCGGTGCCAGATATTGAGGTTATGGTTAGCGTAGGTTGTGTTCGGTGTTGGGTAGATAATTAGCAACGAATTTTTTTTTATACACGGCAAACAATCGGAAAGGTGTGGAATACAGTTTTTTTAGTTCGTGTTGTCTAAGCATGAGTTTATTTTCGTATAGATTGTTTTGGTTGTGAAAAATATATTAGGTATGGAAATTTTGTAGTTCCAAATTAAACTTTTCCAGTAGTTTATAGCAATATGCATATACGAACCTAATATAAGGTCTACATTTAAATTAAACGTTCTTTGTAGAATTACGTGCATATCCATCACCAGATGATCAAATGAATAATGGTAGGGGAGCCAGTGACAATTTTATTATACATATATCGTCGGGTTACTGCCAAAACAAGATAAGTACATTTTTTTCTTCATTTTTGGGTTAAGTGCATGTTTAACATTAAAATTGTCTAAACTATATTCTGACAGAACCAGATAATTGTATTAAACGCCGGTATACGTTGATACGCATGTGTACTTAAAAGACTAAGTGCATTACAAGAATTATCTTGACAGCTAAAACAAGACAAGTGCATTTATGTTAGGTTTAAAAATTATTTTAATTTTACTTTGTGTATAAGGAAATATATGTTTTGGAAAAAAAGCAGTCCTTTAAATGCAAATGAAATTAAAATCACAAAAGCGTACAAAAGATGTAGGCCCATTTTGGTTGAGAAAAAACAAGACCTACTGAAATTGTGTCAAAGTGATGTTATCCCTGTAGAATACCATCAATATTACAAATCCTTGCATACCTCTAAAGAGGTAAAACATTTAGTTCCAAAGCCAGCAGCTAAAGAGTCTGATATTGAAGAACTTCCTTTAGACGAGCACCACTTATAAAATCACAACTACACACCTCTTATTTGTTACCATTTAAATACGTGTGTTATAGTTAACTTTGTGACTGGAAATCTGACATATTTAAATTTTAAGTTACGATAAGTAATTGCAAATTTAAAATAAGCAGAGTAAATTTCTCGAGAGAGCTCGAGGAAAACGAGAAATTCTCGTCGAGAGATGACACATTTTCGTCTCTCAAATTTGTTTTCGAGAGAAAATGTATCTCTCGTTTCGTCTAAAATATCAGAAATTACAGTATATCTGTCCACCTCAGTTATACATTTCTTACAAGTTCTTACAAAAGTGACGAATATTTTAATTTATCTTTTAAACTTATTGTTATTGTTTAACTAAACAGAAATTTCTTCAAAATGTAAACTGTTCGATATGAATCTATCGACACCAGTTGAGTAAACGCTCGTCGACACATTATTTCCACTAAAAAAAATTAAATTTGTTATCTTGAAAGATCTATTACTTTCACGAAAATCTTTTAAGTGTTTTAAATGTCGACGATTTGTCAATGTGTACAGGTTCGTTAAGAAACCAATTTATCTTGAACATATCTCATAAAACGCACATGGACGTACATAATTTATTTTTTGTTATTCATTGATTTACATTAACACGCGTGACTCTGATTTATATGAAAATCCTACTCACGCCGATATCAAAGTAAATGAGTAATGGCAAATACATTTTTGCATAAAAAATTTAAAGTTTTTTGAAATTGATACAGAATTTTTAAAAACAATTTTATTGATGAAAGTGAACGTACGTCTTTACTCAAAAAAGCTAGATAAAATATACATAATAAAACCAGGAAATCTATATACAGGGTGTTAATATATTCGACCGACAACGCTCTACCCCAGAGAGCTGTCGTTAATTGATGAATTCTAATTCACGAACATGAACTCTTAAAGGCAGTTTACCCTTTGGACTCACCAAAGGCAGTTCGTCGTCGATTTTGTACGCTCATTAGTTCCGAATTGTGACGCCAGGTTATTAGCCTAAAACCGCTATAATTTTTTATTCACTTATCGTTCGAGTTAGCCAGGAAGTATAAACTATAACCTCTTTGAAGGAGTCACAGCTCCATGGTAGAGCCCTCCGGGGCAAACCCCGACAAAAGTATCAAGGAATACCCTACTATATACTCACAACGTCAAAGAAACAGATGGAAGCATAAAGAGGCGCTTAAAAACATTTTAAAAATCCATACTCCCGACTCACTGAAGGCAAAACCCAAAAGGAAAGGATCACTAACCGTGAGTAGAACCACTTTACTAGGCTTAACAACAACAACCACTAATCCAGGGATCAGCTGCCCAGAACAGGAAGAACCCCTGTTTAAAAATTCTCCGGTACGACCTCTAAACGACCCCCAAAGACTTCTAGAGGAAGTATACGGGGATTTGAACAATTCCTCAAGCTCTGAAGATAGCATGGATACTACCATAATTAATACAGAGCAAACCACCCCAAACGTTACCACACCCTGTGGCCCAACTACCCTCACAGGACCCCAACCCTCAAATCCAAAACTCCAACGTAAAAGAAAGTATAGAGAAAACACTCGAAAGTATGGAGAATACACGAAAAAGTCAGGAGAACGCACCAAAAACGAGCAGAATACTCCAGAAAACTCAGGAAACGACACTCCTAACTATAGTCGCAGTGCCAGCGACGATAAGTCAGGGGAATTCATGGATGTGGATGACAATACACCGGCAGGAGAGGACATTCCCAACGAAGGAACCTACCACCCCAATCCCGAGGGAAAATCTACATCTAACATGATTTCCGCTGAACCAACCCATATCCCTCCCCTATAGGGAACACAGATCATGCGCAGAACTTCCAATCGGCGTATGTAACTCAATCTAACCACCCAACGAAGATCACCATAAAAAAGGTTGAAATGGCGGTTAAAATTTTGGTTCAGGTACCGATTTGCATTACCACACACCCTCCCACAGCAAAACAGGAGCCATCTCGAAAAAATTTCTCCCAACTTTTAAAACAAAAAGTATGGAAAATAGTAATATCGATCGAGTAATGACAAACCGAAGGAAGGGTGAACTGAGTAGCTTTGATCTGCACTCGCTAGTACAAGACAGACAACCATAGGCTCGAACAAACCCCCAGTAATCTCATTAACATCGTGGACAACAGTGAGATTAAAATCCAAGTAAATGCCTCCGATATACCAAAGTCCTTACAAGACTCCATACAGCGATTCAATAGCGGTAATAGTACCTCGGAAGATGAAAGGGGAGTACATGCCCTCGAGTACCACAGACTAATGAGAACACCCAGATCCCCAAACAGTACTTTCCCCTTCCCAGGTAAAGACAAACCTCAAGATACAGTAATTGCTGAGAGCAACACCCAAACATTTGAACTTCCCTTCGAGACGCCCAGAAAATTCAGTTCGAATTTCCAAAAACTCATTCGAGAAAAATCGAAACAAACTCTGACAGTCACGAGAAACAAGTACACAGTACTCACGGACGATTCTGAATCGGACCTTGAAGATGAAGTCGACCGTATTGTCAAAAGGTGACGCAAAAACTCCCCTAAAGAAACAGCACAAAAGGCCAAAAGTCCTGGCAAAGAAATCCCCACTGCTAAAGCTACAAATCCCGCTACCAATACAACCAAAATCAAACCAGCCAACGTTCCCAGCAAAAGACAAGGGTCTATGCCCCCTATAGTGGTCGACGGCAAAACAATAAATCAGAATATATTAATACAGGATTTTAAGGCCAAAATCAAAGGTGGATTCAGTGTCAAACACACGAACAATTCAACTATCCTGTTCGTGGATGACAAAGAAGACCACCAGAAAGTCCTGCAAAGTGTCAGGGACGAAAACATAGCGCACCATATCTACACTAACACAGAAGACAAATCGCACAAATTTGTACTGAGAGGGCTCGCAGATGGTACAAAAACCCAGGACATTGAAGACGACATAGAAACACAATACGAAATTAAAGTTAAAAACATCTTTCGTATGAATACGAAAAATCGACACTTGTTTCTAGTCGTCACTGATCCTTCCTTGACACTGGATTATCTCAATAAGAATGTAAGAAGAGTTCTCTATACTAGAGTCATCTGGGAACTCAATCAAACAGATAATCCAGTGTCATAATTTATTTTAATTTATTTTCATTTATTTATTTTTATTTTTTAACAACTGTTTAAACAATTTTATTTAAAAAAAAATGAGATATTGCCTCAAGGCAAACTGCATTTATATAATATTTGACGTATTTTTATAAGATTCTGACAAAAGAATAGCTTTCGAACAGTTTTCGACACTCACACGCCGATTCCTCCTAGACAAATATGGAAGTAGAAATAAATCAAAAGGTTATGTATTATTATATGTACGTAATGTTGTGAATGTTCATTGATCGTTTGGTTACAGAATTTATTGGGTAAATATAAATATTTTATACGATAAGATATTTTCAAGAAATTTCGGTAAATTTTTAAGTACCGACTTAAAAATAAATTTAAATATTACAATTTTTGTATACTTTTGATTACTAATAAATATATATTCTATAAACCTGCTGGCTAGTGTCAAAAATATTCCTAGATTCTTTTGTATCTATTATGGAGAGATATAAAACATCTGCCCATTAGAAGCTTGGTTTGATTTTACTATCAGCTTTTTAAGTAGGCACTTATTTAAAATGGAAGAAGTAATCTTTACCAGATAATAAATTCCTATTTTTAGTCCTATGCTTAAGTTTTAAGAAAAATAAAAATTTTTAATCACTCTTTTTGACAGTAAAATCTAACTATTCTTTATCACGGTCACTTCACTTACACAAACTCAAAAGGTTCGACTCTGCACACTAGATCCTGATTGTCTAAAAGAGAACTTCAATGTTAATCGAGATGTTAATGTGTTTGTGAATCCTCTCCTTATGTCTCTTATATAAATTAAATAATGTACGTTGCGATCAAATGTGTGGCAATAGAAACTTTCACTCCTTATTCCCTTACTCCCCCCCCCCCCCCCTTCCCCTTCAAATGTGGAAATCCAAAACCCTGAAATACGTCATTATTTATGTTGAGAAGCTAGAATTCAAATTTTCAAGTTCCTACCTTTAAAAAAACTGACACTCCCATACAAATTTTCACCCCCCCGTTTCCCACCCTTGAAATGTGAAAATCCAAAAATCCTGACACTAATTATTTATGATAATAATAATAATAATATTTATTCACACATAATAATAATAATAATAATAATATAAAAGTTTTACAATAATACACAAACATATGTATTGTAACTTCAATGTAAATAAATCATTGACCCCATTAAAACTGTTTAGTCGAGCATGGGAAATGCCAATTTTTATTAAAAATTGAAATTGCCAAAACGCAGTAGATAAAAGAAATTATAATTAAGGTATACATAATGACTAAAATAATAAAATAATAATAATAATAATAAGATAATAATAATAATATTTATAACTTATATAACTAAATAATAAAAATTTAAATTGGTAAAAAAAATATAGTTAGCAAAAATACTGATGCGTGATAAGGGTGTGAATTATATATTGTTTTCCTTGAATCAATCAAACAGTTGTTTAAGCATGTGCCTATTATTTAATATTAAATATGTTTTAAGCAAGGATTTTATCATTGCATGAGAATTGATGGTATTTAAGTATATTTTGTATATATCAGGAAGTGTATTATAAATTTTTAATTGTAGATATTGGAAGTTTCGTTGGCCTACGGTTTTTTTTTGCAATATTTGTTGCAATAAATAGTTGTGATCGATTTCTTGTCTGGTATGAATGTTGAATAGGTATTAGTAACTGCTTATTTTTATGTAAATTTACCATCATAGCAAGTGTAAATAGTTGTCTTATATCTAGGACTGCGGATTCTATAAATAATTCGTCTGATGGGTGTGATACTTTTTTGTTATGTATTATTTTTAATATTTTTTTTTGAATAATGTTTAATGGTTGTAAGTAGGTGACAGAGACTCCACCCCATCCGAGAATCCCGTATCGTAAACGTGATTCCACTAGTGAATAATATACGATTTTTAGATGATATATATCAAGTATAGATTTTAAGTAGCGAAATTTATATAATAAATACCTTAAGGTCTTACAAATTTCATTTACATGTTTATCCCAGCGTAAATGGGAATCAATTGTAAATCCTAGATAGCAAATACTATCGGCTCTGTTTATAACGAGATTTTTTATTTTTAATGAATTATAATTCGGCAAACCATTTTTATAACTAGCAAAAGGAACGAAAAATGTTTTTTGAACATTTACTGTAAGTAACTTGTGACTAAATACATCTATAATTTTTACTAAATCGTTTTCCATTTTAACCTTTAGGTCAGTCCAGGTTTCAGCTGAATATAAGATGGCAGTATCATCCGCAAAACTTATGATACTACCTTCTGTATGGTAGGTTAGTACATTATTTATGTATAGTATAAATAAAATAGGTCCTATTACGGTACCTTGTGGTATACCAAAATTTATTTCTTTTTTACTACTTACCTCTTCGTCTATCCTGACTACTTGATTTCTACCTAACAAATAGCTCTGCATTAAATCATGAACTTTCCCACGTACTCCTGCATCCTCCAAGACATCCAACAGTTGCGTGTGGCTAACCGTATCAAATGCCTTGGCTAGATCCAGAAATACGCAAGCAGTTGGAGTGCTTGCATCAATAAGATTGTATATCTTGCTTGTTAGGGATGTAATGGCATTTTCCGTCGACATTCCTCTTCGAAAGCCAAATTGGTTTTCAGACAGTAAATTATATTTTTCTAAATATGTGGTAAATTGATTTGTTAAAGCTTTTTCTAAAATCTTACTCAGAGTTGTAATTAACGATATAGGCCTGTAATTTGTTTGTAATTTTCGGTTTCCTTTTTTGTGTATGGGAACAATTAAAGTAGTTTTAAATTGTCTAGGCCATAGTCCGGTTTCAAAAATAGTATTTATTAAGTAAACTAAGGGATGAGTAGCTTAAATCAAAATTTTCATGTTTTTTACTTCAAAGAACAAAGACTTTCATATAGTCTAATCAACAAGTTCAAAAGCGTGTTTTTGGGACATACTATTACGAAAATTATGTTCAATAGCTCATTCGATTCGGAATAATGTCTAGATCAATGTGTGAAGAAAAATTTTGCAGTGCATAAAAAACTGAAAAAGTTATAAACAATTAAACACCTCAAAAACATGGTGTTTGGTTTTTCGCCTATAGTTTGTAAACTATAAATATTTTTGGATTTTTCAAAAAAGATCCTTAAAGAGGAGGAAATTTGCTATAAATAACTTTCGATTCCCGGAACTGTACCTCCATTATTTATAATTTTAATTTAACGCTCAAAGTAGCCATCCACGCGCCATTTTTAGGTTGCGCGCACAGCGTCGAAACCGAGTACGTTACATAAAATAATTTTTTTAAGTTAATAAAATTAAATTCAAAAATTTAAAAAAATTACGGTGTATTCTTAACACTTAGAAGAATTCATTCCCGTTGGAATTTTTCATAAAAATTAATTTTCCAACAAAGTAGGTTATTGTTAATTAACAAAATTTTTAGAATTTCTCTCATCATTACAAATTGATAAAAATATTAAATAATTACCCTAAATTTTTTTTGCTTCGTGGAGCTCTTTTTATATACATATAAAACAAAATAGCTTCATAAAAGTTTAAAAAATGTTAATACTTTGTTTATAATATTTTTTTAAAGTTTACAAAAACAGAAAAGTCACAGCGGTGCTATAAAAAAATGTTTTTTTTTTTCAATTTTTTATAATATTACTGTTTTAATGTCGAGAAAAAACGTTTATTAATAAAAAAAAAATTTTTTCCTCCTTTTGTTTATACATTTTTTATAAACAAATGGAGTATTTCAATTTTTTTCAAATTTTTTTTTTTACAACTTTCTAGACAATATATCTATTGTTTAAATTATTAGTTAAGAAATGTGTTTTTTTTTTAAATCATAATTGACAGTCCTCTACAAAGTGACAGCAAAAAAAATGTTTATTAATAATTCCATTGTTTATTAAGTTAACAATTTGTTATAAACAAATTCCCAAAATAATTTAATATTTTTATCAATTTGTAATGATGAGAGAAATTCTAAAAATGTTAATTAACAATAACCTACTTTGTTGGAAAATTAATTTTTATGAAAAATTCCAACGGGAATGAATTCTTCTAAGTGTTTAGAATACACCGTAATTTTATTAAAATTTTTAAATTTAATTTTATTAACTTAAATAAATTATTTTATGTAACGTACTCGGTTTCGACGCCGTGCGCGCAACCTAAAAATGGCGCGCGGAAGGCTACTTTAAGCGTTAAATTAAAATTATAAATAATTGAGGTACAGTTCCGGGAGTCGGAACTTATTTAATAATAATAATAATAATAATAATAATTTATAGCAAATTTCCTCCTCTTTAAGGATCTTTTTTGAAAAATCCAAAAATATTTATAGTTAATTGTTTATAACTTTTGCAATTTTTTATGCACTGCAAAATTTTTCTTCACACATTGATCTAGACATTATTCCGAATCGAATGAGCTATTGAACATAATTTTCGTAATAGTATGTCCCAAAAACACGCTTTTGAACTTGTTGATTACACTAATACAAATTTCCACCCCCCCCCAATTTCCCCTTCAAAATTGAAATTCCCAAAGATCTTTTTACTTAGCAAATGCTTACGTCATAAAATAAATCTACAGTCCAAATTTCAGCTTTCCAGACTTAGTAATTTTATCTGTGCGTTGATAGATCAAGTCTATCAATCAGTCAGTCAGAACAAACGATTTTTAATTTGGCATATTTTTAAAAGATTCCTAAAAACCAAATGCGTCCGAATAGTTTTCGACATTCGTGCACCGATTCCTTCCAGACTATATATTCAATTTATGAATTACAAAAGAAAATAATCATATAACACTACTAAACAATAACATTTTTTTCTTGAAATTATTTCATAAATACCTGTTGTTGTCCTCGAAAAGCACTTACAACAGCATCGCTGACAAT